AGGACCCAGATTGTTGGGGGCAATATGCTGACTCTCTGTAAACCACTTAGAGAGGCCTGAAAGGCCTATGAAGCGGTATATAAGTCTACTGCTATGAATTTGATCCGTTCAGTATATTTGAGAAAGCAAAAAAACAGTAAATCTCTACAAGATACAACGAAATCGTTGAAAATACTTTTTTTTTAATCCAATTGCATTAGATTTCAGATACAATTTCCCTTTTAAATAGATGGAGCCTCTCATATGAAGAATAAAAATTAGTTTCAGAATGTTTGCCTTTCTCTATATTGCTAGCAAACTCGATTATTGAATATGGTGAAAGTGATGTTCTGAAATATTTTTTGTGCTATTCGATGTTTTCAGGCCGCTGGATTCTCTTTCGATTGCCACGTTCAGCACTCAGATTTCCAAGAACTGATTGCAAAATGAATCATTCACCCTGTTCTGTAAATTAGAAAGACCTGTATAGCAAGAGATTTATTCAAAGTCAAGCTATCTTGAGTTTATTGTTTTTCACCACAATAAATTTTTATTAGGTTATAAAGTAATATAAAATGCAAAATACAAAAGTAAATAAAAGAGTAGTGATTGTGTGTGTTGATTAGCAAAACACAAGGATTTTTTCCATCCTGACTTGGAGATGCTTGGAACTGTCCTTGTTTGCAAAGCAGGTGCTTTCTTAGGATGTTGTTCCTCGGAATAGTATTTTTAAATTACAGGTGTAGACATTGGGAATTTGGTGTTAAAATCCTTCTAAATTTGTCTTCTTCAAATCAGTCACAAGGCAATTTTACTGAGAAAAAAAAAATATTAGACAAAAACAAACGGAATCCGAATAAAAGAAACCTGTAATATAATTACAGGAATATAATGTGCACATTGTTATGTCTCACTAATTTAACTTTAAAGAATTCAGATGGACTTAATATTGGTCTCTGAAATCTTACAAGCAGGAATTGCAATGCAGCCCTCTTGAGTAAGTAAAAAAGTGAAAAGGAACTTCATAGTTATGCGGTATTCTTGCTAATAAATACTGGCTATCTTAGACTGTTATCATTGTTATATTATAGCATGAGACGGCACAACGATAACATTCAAACCTTTTATGAAAAAGTTATCAGTTGAACTCCATCCCTAATCTTCTTGTTAGATATTAGCAACTGTTATAATAGTTTCCGAGGTGGCGCAGTGGGTAGAGTGCAGTACTGCAGGCTACTTCAGCTGACTGTTATCTGCAGTTCGGCGGTTCAAATCTCACCAGGCTCAA